TCATAACATCAGCACAACTGTAATTTTACATTAATACAATGTAAATGTAATTTTAATGCAGCTTAAATTCAACTGATGTAATTTTGGCTGATCTATCAGTTTAAAGGAAAACAGGATGTAGATGTGGTACAGTGGACAAGTATTCTTTGCTCACAGGGTGTGTCGGTAATCTGCTGTTGCACTTTGTTACTCTCACCAGCTCTTTTAGCACCAGGAGAAGAAGTCTATCTGACCTGTAGTGACCTCTCTTCACTGGCTCCAATAGACGACTCTATTATTTGCTTTTAAATGCTTTTATTGTATTACATGATTTGGCTTTATTGCACAATAAACCTGCTCGGTCCTCATTTCACCAGCCTGTATATATTTATCTTGGTTATTTTTATACAAATTTTTAGTTTAATGTTAAAGTGGGCAGAAAATGTAGGAGTTTAGCCCCGCCCATTCATCTTACAGCAGTTTAGCCCCACCCATTCAGTTTACAGCACATTAGCCCCACCCATTCAGCCAGCATACAGCACTTTAGCCCCGCCCATTCATCTTACAGCAGTTTAGCTCCGCCCATTCAACTCACAGCAGTTTAGCTCCACCCATTCCACATACAGCAACTTAGCCCTGCCCATTCATGCTGAAGTTATAAGGAGTTTTTCAGCCCAAACTGTGTTTTTACTGGCAGTCAATCAGAACAGAGCTCATTTACATATATTGGTCTTAAAGGCACAGTAAAAAAGGTCTGTTTGATTGTAAGGAAGAGAAGTTGGAATCTCTATCTGCTTCACTCTGTCACACCAATCTATAAACAAACACATTCACCTGAGCTTTACAAGCTCTACTGTTTATACACCTGTTACTGAGGATGAGGTGCTCTGCGGAACTGCTGATAGTCTACAACAGGACCGTACACAGTAAGACACACGGGCCAAATTCGGCCCACAACAACACTGCCTTAACTCCCTCACCCCCTCACCTAATGAGAGAACAAACAAGTGTATATAAAACATATATACAGTATACATATATGCCAAACATATAGTCTGAAGTTATAAAATAAATATATTTTCTCATATCTGTAGGGGAATTCCACCTATTTCTAAACATTTCTGCATAATTAAGTGGTTAAGATGTAAACAGAGTCGTTCAGAGTGGTTTGGTGTGAAACGCTCCATTCTAGATAAACTTACCGAGTCAGAATTGTTCACAGTGGTGGTGATAGGAACCAGACGTCCACCTCTAAAAGCTCCCTCACAGAAAGTTCCTACATGAAATGGTTATGAATTCACTGCCTGATGACTGAGAAACTGCTTTATGATAGGTTTGAGAACTTAAACTCCATTCATGGTGGAGGGATACATGCAGGGCGCTGTGAGGCAAAATAGTCCCCAGAGAAAACTTATTATTTCAGATTTTCCACTATTTTCCATCATCAACATTCCATATAAACTCAGAAGACCCGTGTAGGTTCACTGGTGGTTTTGGTTAGTAAATAAAATGTCTCTATTTGTGTTGTAGTCATGGCGACCCCTGGTTCCTATCACCACCACTGTAAAGACATCGGAACAATTTCATACCAAACCACTCTGAATCTCTCTGTTTACATCTCACACACAACTAAGTATGTTAAAGACTAAACAGCAGCATTTAAAGAACACAGCATTTATCAGCATTATGAAACCACACATGGCCTAAATTATCCACATTAACTGGCAATACGGGAAAACATATGACTAACAGGCACTTTGGCCCCACATGACAGAAAGTTTGTGCAACCCTGCTCTACATTAACCCCTTAAAATCCCAGGCTTATTACACACTACAGCTTATTATTCAGCAACTGCAGGGACTTCAATGCAAACTGGTTGAGCTATTCTTTGGATATAGAAGTGTCTAGTAAAACTTTGGGCCGGCCGGTGGGCTCTGGCCACAGCGCTGCAACTGATGATGGGAGACGTGTAATAAATACACGGCAGCTGCAAATGACCCGCAGTTGTCTTTGTTATTCATTAAGGCCTCAAATCAGAATCACTGTCTCTCTCTCTCTCTGTGTGGGGGTCTCAGATGACTCCCACACTTCAGAAGAGTTTTAGCTGCTGTTTCCTGCTGTGGTGCAAATAGCAAAATAGAGAAAGGGCTTCTGGGTAATGAAGCTCACCGGGGAGGCTCAGCACTAATTACCCAAACAAATTAACTCAATAATATTATAACTGAAGGGTCCACATCAAAAATAACACTAATAACATTCACAATGTCAACACCTACACGGTCAGGAAAACAGGTTCAGTGCAGGTACGTTTTTCCTTCGTCAAGGTACAAATAAAGTAAATGTGCCCTCAGAGGTACAACAGTGGGTTTAAGGTCCAGTGGTGCGTAATTGTACCTTTTCATAATGTTTTAAAACAGGACAGCAAAATAAAAATGCTGGACCCAAGACAGGGTAAGTGGAGTCAATTAAACTAAAAAATGTAGAATTGTAATGGATTATGGTGCAATATGGGTATTTAAATAGATATGCTTTCTTCCAACAACAGTGATACACACACACACACACACTGTTCACACTGTTGTGTCACCCTGTATCTCCATTTTTGATGTTTTTCAGTTTTTGACATAATTTGAAAATCCCTGTTACCCTTTACATTGTATGTAAATTTAATGATGAAAGGACTAAAAGAAACGACCCAAAATGCCTTGGAAAAAAGTCTGGTTCCATTGACTTACATTAAAAGTAAAGTAGGTTTTTTCCTTCTCCTGTAAAGTTACCATTTTGGAGATATGAGGTTTACACATAACGAACCACTGCATCATGCAACCATTGCATGAAACAGTTCTCATTTAGAACTCATGGTTCTAAATAGAGCCATTCCTTTTACTAAAGAACCCTTGAAGAACCATCTTTTAAAGGTGCTGTGTGCTGTAAAGTCTGCCCTGCTGAAAAAAATGACCATTAGAAACCAATAGAATTAAAACCTAATGCTTTCTAATGGCAATTGGCTTAATGGTTTCCAGTTTCCAATAGAACACCTTTAGATCCCTTTAGGAAACCATCAAATCCATTGAGAATCAGCCACTGGTCACCCATTAAACCATTAGGACCCTTTACACTGCATATATATATGTATACATGAAGAACCATTTCATTATGCAAAGAACCATTGCTACATAGTCCTTCATAGAACTCGTCGTTCTAAACAGAGCCATTCCTTTTACTAAAGAACCCTTGAAGAGCCATCTTTTCTAAAAGCACTGTCTGCTGTAATATCCGTCTATTACCATGAACACTCAAAGAACCCTTAGCATGATTAAAGGGTTCTTTTCATGATGAAATGCTTCTTCAGATTGATGGACCTCTTTGAAAATGGTTCTCTGTAGCATCAAAAAGGTTCTTTTATTGTTAGGCATTCAAGCCTGTATGCAATAGAAAAACTCTTTTGGTGGTATATAGAACCCTTTTTAAAAACGTTCTACATAGAACCGTATACAACACATTCTCCAACAATCTGAAGAACCATTTTACCATGCACAGAACCATTCAAGCATGAAACGGTTCTGTATAGAACTCATGGTTCTAAACAGAGCCATTCCTTTTACTAAAGAACCCTTGAAGAACCATCTTTTAAAGGTGCTGTGTGCTGTAATGTCCGCCCTGCTGAAAAAATGACCATTAGAAACCAATAGAATTAAAACCTAATGCTTTTGCTTTCTAATGGCAATTGGCTTAATGGTTTCCAGTTTCCAATAGAACACCTTTAGATCCCTTTAGGAAACCATCAAATCCATTGAGAATCAGCCACTGGTCACCCGTTAAACCATTAGGACCCTTTACACTGCATATATATATATATATATATGTATGTATACATGTATACATGAAGAACCATTTCATTATGCAAAGAACCATTGCTACATAGTCCTACATAGAACTCATGGTTCTAAACAGAGCCATTCCTTTTACTAAAGAACGCTTGAGGAGCCATCTTTCAAGGACCTCTTTGAAAATGGTTCTCTTCAGCACCAAAAAGGTTCTCTTATTGTTAGACAGTCAAGCCTGTTTGCAATAGAAAAACTCTTTTGGAGGTATATAGAACCCTTTTTAAAAATGTCCTACATAGAACCATATACAACACATTCTCCATCAATCTGAAGAACCATTTTACCATGCACAGAACGATTTAAGCATGTATACATGAAGAACTATTTCATTATGCAAAGAACCATTGCTACATAGTCCTCCATAGAACTCATGGTTCTAAACAGAGCCATTCCTTTTACTAAAGAACCCTTGAAGAGCCATCTTTTCTAAGAGTGCTGTCTGCTGTAATATCCGTCCATTACCATGAACACTCAAAGAACCCTTAGCATGATTAAAGGGTTCTTTTCATGATGAAATGCTTCTTCAGATTGATGGACCTCTTTGAAAATGGTTCTCTGTAGCATCAAAAAGGTCCATCTTATATATATATATATATATATATATATATATATATATATATATATATATATACTGTTAAACCATTAGGACCCTTTACACTGTGATAAAAAAGCATTAAAACCATCAGGAACCAACAGAAACGCTTAATGGTTTCTATGGGTCTTTCAGCAGGGTGGTGTTACCTGGCCGTGACCTGCAGCTCCAACCTGTTCATCCCTCCGCAACAACTTTAGCGCCACTTCCACTTCACCTCCAGAGGGGCGCTCGGCTCTGACCACAGCTCCTGATCTCACACAGTCCAAACTCACACAGGGATATAAAAGTGTTTAATGATGATTTTCGGTAATATTATTATCATTGTTGGTAATATTATTATGATTTTGCCCTCGGTTGTGACTGAGAATGAAGACAGTGTGGGTCTGTTCTCCCCCCCAGCTCAGCGGAGTTGGTTCGCTCCAGCCAGCGGAAGTGTCCTCGCAGTTTTTTAGTGCTTTTGGTGGGGAAGTTGCTGCGGGTTGGTGGGGCAGAAGCGGAGGGGCAGCAGGGCGCCTAGAGGGGCAAAACACTCCCGAACATGAGGAGGAAGGAGAAGAGGCTGCTGCAGCTGGCCGGGCTGCTGATCGCAGCGCTGCTTTTCCTGCCGAATGTGGGTTTATGGTCGCTGTATCGAGACAGAGTGTTTGAAAACTCGCCTGCGTCGCTGGACGATCACAGCGTCCGCGGTCAGGTGAGCAGCTCCGCCACGGTCTCCGCTCCGACTCCGCTGTTACTCTGTTGCGCTGCTGTTGCGATTCGCTGAGGGCAGTAACGCGGTAGTGACGGCGCCATGTAACGGTTTATATAACTAACTTCCACTGTTAACATCCTCAGATCTGCGCTGTACACTGCTCACATTCTCATACATCCGCACCGTCCACTGTCTCTCACCGTCCACTGTCTCTCACCGTCCACTGTGTCTCACTGTTCTGTCCTCATCACTTACTGCTGCGCTCGGGCCTAGTCCGCTTACTCGGGGTGTTTTAGTCCGGTGTCTGCTGTAGGAGTTAGTGGTTCCTGCTCTAGTTAGTGTGTGTGGTTCCTGATGCAGCTACAAGTTTCTCTCGTGTGTTCCTGCTGTAGTTGGTGTGGTTCCTACTTTGTGTAGTATGGTTCCTGCTATAGTTAGTATGGTTCCTGCTATAGTTAGTATGGCTCTTGTTATAATTAATATGGTTCCTGCTGTAGTTAGTGTGGTTCCTACTTTGTGTAGTATGGTTCCTGCTATAGTTAGTATGGTTCCTGCTCTATCTAGTATGGCTCTTGTTATAATTAATATGGTTCCTGCTGTAGTTAGTGTGGTTCCTACTTTGTGTAGTATGGTTCCTGCTGTAGTTAGTGTGGTTCCTACTTTGTGTAGTATGGTTCCTGCTGTAGTTAGTATGGTTCCTGCTGTAGTTAGTGTGGTTCCTACTTTGTGTAGTATGGTTCCTGCTGTAGTTAGTGTGGTTCCTACTCTGTCTAATACAGTTCCTGCTGTAGTTAGTGTGGTTCCTACTTTGTGTAGTATGGTTCCTGCTGTAGTTAGTGTGGTTCCTACTCTGTCTAATACAGTTCCTGCTGTAGTTAGTGTGGTTCCTACTTTGTGTAGTATGGTTCCTGCTGTAGTTAGTATGGTTCCTGCTGTAGTTAGTATGGTTTCTGCTGTAGTTAGTGTGGTTCCTACTTTGTGTAGTATGGTTCCTGCTATAGTTAGTATGGTTCCTGCTGTAGTTAGTGTGGTTCCTACTCTGTCTAATACAGTTCCTGCTGTAGTTAGTGTGGTTCCTACTTTGTGTAGTATGGTTCCTGCTGTAGTTAGTGTGGTTCCTACTTTGTGTAGTATGGTTCCTGCTGTAGTTAGTATGGTTCCTGCTGTAGTTAGTATGGTTCCTGCTGTAGTTAGTGTGGTTCCTACTTTGTGTAGTATGGTTCCTGCTATAGTTAGTATGGTTCCTGCTGTAGTTAGTGTGGTTCCTACTCTGTCTAATACAGTTCCTGCTGTAGTTAGTGTGGTTCCTACTTTGTGTAGTATGGTTCCTGCTGTAGTTAGTGTGGTTCCTACTCTGTCTAATACAGTTCCTGCTGTAGTTAGTGTGGTTCCTACTTTGTGTAGTATGGTTCCTGTTGTAGTTAGTATGGTTCCTGCTGTAGTTAGTATGGTTTCTGCTGTAGTTAGTGTGGTTCCTACTTTGTGTAGTATGGTTCCTGCTATAGTTAGTATGGTTCCTGCTGTAGTTAGTGTGGTTCCTACTCTGTCTAATACAGTTCCTGCTGTAGTTAGTGTGGTTCCTACTTTGTGTAGTATGGTTCCTGCTGTAGTTAGTGTGGTTCCTATTTTGTGTAGTATGGTTCCTGCTGTAGTTAGTATGGTTCCTGCTGTAGTTAGTATGGTTCCTGCTGTAGTTAGTGTGGTTCCTACTTTGTGTAGTATGGTTCCTGCTATAGTTAGTATGGTTCCTGCTGTAGTTAGTGTGGTTCCTACTCTGTCTAATACAGTTCCTGCTGTAGTTAGTGTGGTTCCTACTTTGTGTAGTATGGTTCCTGCTATAGTTAGTATGGTTCCTGCTCTATCTAGTATGGTTCTTGTTATAATTAATATGGTTCCTGCTGTAGTTAGTGTGGTTCCTACTTTGTGTAGTATGGTTCCTGCTGTAGTTAGTGTGGTTCCTGCTGTAGTTAGTATGGTTCCTGCTGTAGTTAGTATGGTTCCTGCTGTAGTTAGTGGGGTTCCTACTTTGTGTAGTATGGTTCCTGCTATAGTTAGTATGGTTCCTGCTGTAGTTAGTGGGGTTCCTACTTTGTGTAGTATGGTTCCTGCTATAGTTAGTATGGTTCCTGGTCTATCTAGTATGGTTCTTGTTGTAATCAGTATGGTTCCTGGTGAAATTAATGTGGTTCCTGCTCTGTCTAATATGGTGGTTGTTATAGTTAATGTGGTTCCTACTATACTTAGGGTGGTTCCTGCTGTAGTTAGTGTGGTTCTTACTCTGTCTAGTCTGGATCCTTTTTAGTTAGCATGGTTCCTCCTGTACCTAAGGAGATTCTCTAGAGTTCTTTAGTAAGGGCAGTGGTTATATATAGAAGATAGGCAGTGGTTATGTTTAGAACAATGACGGCTCAAAGAACCATTTGAATGTAGTTAGTGGTTCCTGCTGTACTTAGTACTGATTCTGCTGTAGTTAGTATTGATTCTGCTGTAGTTAGTATTGATTCTGCTGTACTTAGTACTGATTCTGCTGTAGTTAGTATTGATTCTGCTGTAGTTAGTATTGATTCTGCTGTAGTGAGTATTGATTCTGCTGTAGTTAGTATTGATTCTGCTGTAGTTAATACTGATTCTGCTGTAGTTAGTACTGATTCTGCTGTAGTTAGTACTGATTCTTCTGTAGTGAGTATTGATTCTGCTGTAGTTAATACTGATTCTGCTGTACTTAGTACTGATTCTGCTGTAGTTAGTACTGATTCTGCTGTACTTAGTACTGATTCTGCTGTAGTGAGTATTGATTCTGCTGTAGTTAGTATTGATTCTGCTGTAGTTAGTACTGATTCTGCTGTAGTTAGTACTGATTCTGCTGTAGTTAATACTGATTCTGCTGTACTTAGTACTGATTCTTCTGTAGTGAGTATTGATTCTGCTGTAGTTGGTATTGATTCTGCTGTAGTTAATACTGATTCTGCTGTACTTAGTACTGATTCTGCTGTACTTAGTACTGATTCTGCTGTAGTGAGTATTGATTCTGCTGTAGTTAATACTGATTCTGCTGTACTTAGTACTGATTCTGCTGTAGTGAGTATTGATTGTGCTGTAGTTAGTACTGATTCTGCTGTAGTTAGTACTGATTCTGCTGTAGTTAGAGGTTTCTGCTGTAGTTAGAGGTTTCTGCTGTAGTTAGTACTAATTCTGCAGTAGTTAGAGGTTTCTGCTGTAGTTAGTACTAATTCTGCAGTAGTTAGAGGTTTCTGCTGTAGTTAGTATTAATTTTGCTGTAGTTATTACTAATCATTCTGTAGTTAGTATTGATTCTGCTGTAGTTAATATTGATTCTGCTGCAGTTAGTATTGATTCTGCTGCAGTTAGTATTGATTCTGCTGCAGTTAGTATTGATTCTGCTGTAGTTAGTGGTCCCTGTTTTCCTCTTGTAGTTAGTATAATTTCTACCGTAGTTACTGGAACTGTGTGGTTATTATGGTTCCTGCTGTAGTAAATGGTTCAGGCTGTTGTCAGTGGTTCCTGCTCTATCTAGTACGGTTTCTCTTTGAGTGTTGTTTTTCAGTGTTATGGTTTTGTACAGTATATTAATGTGTTGTGCTGTAGTTAGTTTGGTTACTTATGCGTTACATTCATTATGTTTAGTTGATGCTCTCACTTCACTTTTTGGCCCTTGTTTTTTTAGGAGTGCTGCTCACTAACACTTTGAGGTCCAGTAAACCCAGAACCACAAAGTTCTGCTTGATTGCTGGGGTAAAAGCTCTCAGAACCATCATTGAATTTACTGGACTCTGTGGATTTGTTTACTGCGCCGTTTACATGTTTACATTTACATGCAGTCGTATGCAAAAGTTTGAGCGGCCCTGGTCAAATAACATGCTGAGGATGAGGAAGAGAAGTAGAAGGAACTTCCATCCATATAGTTCAGTTCGGTTCAGAGGAGTCAGAATGGGGGGTGCTTGTGGGCATAAACGGGTTCTGCTGTAGGGTTCTCGAAGTGTTGGTGCTGGAGTGTGGAGCGGTTTCAGTTAGTACTGATTCTGCTGTACTTAGTACTGATTCTGCTGTACTTAGTATTGATTCTTCTGTAGTGAGTATTGATTCTGCTGTAGTTGGTATTGATTCTGCTGTAGTTAATACTGATTCTGCTGTACTTAGTACTGATTCTGCTGTACTTAGTACTGATTCTGCTGTAGTGAGTATTGATTCTGCTGTAGTTAATACTGATTCTGCTGTACTTAGTACTGATTCTGCTGTAGTGAGTATTGATTGTGCTGTAGTTAGTACTGATTCTGCTGTAGTTGGTATTGATTGTGCTGTAGTTAGTACTGATTCTGCTGTAGTTAGTACTGATTCTGCTGTAGTTAGTACGGATTCTGCAGTAGTTAGAGGTTTCTGCAGTAGTTAGAGGTTTCTGCTGTAGTTAGAGGTTTCTGCTGTAGTTAGTACTAATTCTGCAGTAGTTAGTACTAATTTTGCTGTAGTTATTACTAATCATTCTGTAGTTAGTATTGATTCTGCTGTAGTTAATATTGATTCTGCTGCAGTTAGTATTGATTCTGCTGTAGTTAGTGGTCCCTGTTTTCCTCTTGTAGTTAGTATAATTTCTACCGTAGTTACTGGAACTGTGTGGTTATTATGGTTCCTGCTGTAGTAAATGGTTCAGGCTGTTGTCAGTGGTTCCTGCTCTATCTAGTACGGTTTCTCTTTGAGTGTTGTTTTTCAGTGTTATGGTTTTGTACAGTATATTAATGTGTTGTGCTGTAGTTAGTATGGTTGCTTATGCGTTACATTCATTATGTTTAGTTGATGCTCTCACTTCACTTTTTGGCCCTTGTTTTTTTAGGAGTGCTGCTCACTAACACTTTGAGGTCCAGTAAACCCAGAACCACAAAGTTCTGCTTGATTGCTGGGGTAAAAGCTCTCAGAACCATCATTGAATTTACTGGACTCTGTGGATTTGTTTACTGCGCCGTTTACAGGTTTACATTTACATGCAG